CTCCTGTAATCCCAGCACTTTGGGAGGCCAAGATAGGTGGATGACCTGAGCTCAGGAGTTCGAGACCAGCCTGGCCAACATGGCAAAACCCCGTCTCTACTCAAAATACAAAAAAAAAAATAAAAAATAAAAAATTTAGCCAAGTGTGGTGGTGCACGTCTATAGTCCCAGCTATTCAGGAGGCTGAGGCAGGAGAATTGCTTGAACCTAGGAGGCGGAGGTTGCAGTAAGCCAAGATCATGCCACTGCACTCTAGCCTGGGCAATAAGAGTGAAACTCCATCTCAAAAACGAAACAAAACAAAACAAGAAAAACTAAATCTGGCCACTTACTAAAGGACACACGATGATTCAAGTTCAAAGTCTGTGTTCCTGTGCTTGTCATACATACAGAAACTGCTCATTGATTACATTTTGAAATTTCAGTGTCTCTCAAAAATATCAGATCAAATCAGAGAAGATAAATGAATTCAACCTACCACTTTAAAATAATGCAGAGGCAATGTTAAATTACTTCATTAAGCAAACCAAGAAAAAATAAATTATATATGATTTGTATTATTTTTTAACTTCCACACTATTTAATGGTATTAAATACAAGATTGTCTTTCAATGCTTTCAATGAAATAGGTATCTTACTTTCACTTAGAACATTTTTTTTCAAAGTAACTCTTAAAATTCTGTTTTTCTAATAGGTTTGCAGCAATAAGTGGCAATCATTATTATTAGAAAACATACCCAGATGCTTTCTTCTCGGCGATACTGCTTCCAGTTTCTCCCAGCATCACTGAACATCAGGAGGTAGCTGGTCACCCAGTCAGAGCTCCCATATCCTCCTTGGGTGGCCACGGCAGTGACCTCCATTCTCTCTCCAAGGTCAATTTGCAGCCATTGGTATTTATTTGACACAAGTGGGGTCCAGCCACCAGCTCCTTTTTTGAAACAGAAAAAGTGGGAAAATGGTAGAGGAAGAAGTTATTTAACACAGCTGTTACTAGATTAGAAAATGATAAAATTATGAATACATATTAAGAAAATAATCCATTTGCAGTAGAAAAAATAGAAGAATTACAGGTGGCTAGATGAACCCTAGACTGTGTTCAAATTTGGCTAGACGACCCTGACATTCCAGAATGCAGGTGTCCTACTGAGCGGAGAAAATGTTTGTTTAATGCAGGTGGCTACTACAGCATTCCTGTCAATTTTTGGAACTAGTGTATTTCATAGCCCTTGTGCAAGATTTACCTTTTCCCAACACAAGAGACTCAATTCCAGTAGTAGGAAGTCCAGTATTAAGCATTAATAAAACAAAGACGGTTAATATATTGACCTTGCACTCAAAGTGCTTACAGTCTCATAGGAGAAATGGATGTGTTAAAGAACAATTCAAATATAGAGTGCTTTGTGAGGCAATCCCACTTACACGTGGAATTTTAAAAAGTTAATTCACAGAGGTACAGAGGAGAGTGATGGTTACGAGGAACTGGGGTGTGGAGGAGACACTGGTAAAAAAAGTACAAAAAGGTACGGAGAGGCAAATGGTCAAGGTGAGTCATAAGCAGGTTCTGGTGCACTCTGCTCTCTCTGGCAGTACTGCTGGGAAACCGGGGCAAGCCTCACACAGTGCTCGTCCATCTTGGACAAGGAGAAGGAGACTGTCAGGTATTGAAGAAGATGCGCGCACAGCAGAAAATCTGCTCTTTTTGCGCTGACCAATGCTACGTCTGAAACGAAAACATAGGAATGCCCACTGATGTTTTATTGATGTTTGTTATTTTTCTAGTTTAAT